TAGATTTAAACATCAAGCAGTTACATGCTTTAAAAATAATAAAATTTATAACTATAATTGCTATTTCTTCTTTCAAATGTTTAATACTTGTAAAAGTATTCATTTGACATTGTGGGTTACCTATAATGAGAAGAGATGGCGCTGCCTTGCAGCTTAAGAATGGCTAGAAAAATAAAATTTCCTATTTTTTTATCACATACTGGCAGCACTCATTGAGCACTAAATTATTAACCGTTGATTATCATAGATCTTAGATCCAGAGTGATGTATTCAACCCTGTCACTTGCTCAGACTGTCATACTAGCAGTTTATATTGACAAAAAATTTACAAAAATTAAAATTTCGTTATTTTTTATCACATACTGACAGCACTCATTGAGCACTAAATTATTAACCGTTGATTATCATACATATTCGATCCGGAGTGATGTATTCAACCCGGTCACTTGCTCAGACTGTCAAACTAGCAGTTTATATTGATAAAAAAATAAAAAAATCCAAATGTTTTATCACATACTGGCAGCACTCAATGAGCACTAAATTATTAACCGTTGACTGTCATAAATCTTCGATCCAGAGTGATGTATTCAACCCTGTCACTTGCTCAGACTGTCATACTAGCAGTTTATTTTGATAAAAATTAAAAAAAAAATGAAATTTCGTTATTTTTTATCACATACTGGCAGCACTCATTGAGCACTAAATTATTAACCGTTGACTATCATAAATCTTGGATCCAGAGTGATGTATTCAACCCGGTCACTTACTCAGACTGTCATACTAGCAGTTTATATTGATAAAAATTTAAAAAAAAAAAATCCTAATTTTTTATCACATACTGGCAGCACTCATTGAGCACTAAATTATTAACCGTTGATTATCATAGATCTTCGATCCAGAGTGATGTCTTCAACCCGGTCACTTGCTCAGACTGTCATACTAGCAGTTTATATTGATAAAAAATTAAAAAAAAAATCCTAATTTTTTATCACATACTGGCAGCACTCATTGAGCACTAAATTATTAACCGTTGATTATCATAGATCTTCGATCCAGAGTGATGTATTCAATCCTGTCACTTGCTCAGACTGTCAAACTAGCAGTTTTTATTAATAAAAAAATCCAAATGTTTTATCACATACTAGCAGCACTCATTGAGCACTAAATTATTAACCGTTGATTATCATAGATCTTCGATCCAGAGCGATGTATTCAACCCGGTGACTTGCTCAGACTATCATACTAGCAGTTTTTATTGTTAAAAATTAAAAAAAAATATAATTTCCTAATTTTTTATCACATACTGGCAGCACTTATTGAGCACTAAATTATTAACCGTTGATTATCAAAGATCTTCGATCCAGAGTGATGTATTCAACCCAGTCACTTGCTCAGACTGCCATACTAGCAGTTTATATTGATAAAAAATTAAAAAAAAAATCCTAATTTTTTATCACATACTGGCAGCACTCTTTGAGCACTAAATTATTAACCGTTGATTATCATAGATCTTCGATCCAGAGTGATGTATTCGAACCGGTCACTTGCTCAGACTGTCATACTAGCAGTTTTTATTGATAAAAAATAAAATATTTTTTATTTTCCAAAATTTTCATCAGATACTGCCAGCACTCATTAAGCACTAAATTCCCTATGCATTGCTTTAGTTCTATACCGCGTTAATATAGGCGTTTCAGGGAATACACTGCTAGCTTAATTAAAAGCTGGCAGTGTTCTAATTTTTCGCTAAACTATGAGAGCATTAAATTTCCGGTTTTGGCACTAAATTAGCACTAAATAAGCACTAATTTGATGCACTTTATTTTAAACGATTCTGCTCACTTTGCCATGCTACCTTAACAGACGTTCGTAATTGTGTATTTATCGTAATCTCGTTGCAGCCCCTTTTCAAAACGATTGAATTACTTATATCGGCTGCCCCCAATATGTATTTGCAATAACAATACATCTAGATAGTATGCAATAGACATGGAACTAAATTGCAATGGGTTTAAATCAATTCTTCCATTTAGGGCCACTTATCTGTAATAATTTATTAGCAATCTTCTACAAATATTTAAGTTCTCGTCATCTTTCTTACTGTTTTTGTTTGCGTTTACGGTCGATAAGAAACTCGAAAGCCGTTAATAAAAAGCAAAGGGTAGCAAACAAGCATATGGCCCGTTAATGTTAAGCGGCCAACTCCAATAGTTGCTTGTAATACCAGAGTATCACTTGCGCTGTAGACTACCTTGGTACCTTATCCCCTACCACACGAGTAAAGAAGTTATAGAAGCAAAACTCATACTGTGCGCGAGTCTGAGTAACCACGCCGCCAATAGTACCCTACGTACTCAGCAGACCACCATTGCTCACTCACACGCATAAAGTGGTATTATTTCACTAAAGTCTTCTGTAAGCTTATTTTCCCCTTTTTTAAAGTCCGGGAAATGCCTTACGCATCCTTCAACCACCGAAGGAGCGAGATGAAGGTACCTAGGACTCCTCCCTGCTTCTTTCCTCCAGTTCTGGGGCTCAATGAAATGAGCAGGGCCCTACCTAATGCTCAGTAAAACCATACAATTCTCCTTCACCTTTCACCCGACACGCATTTTGAGAACAGCGGTCTTCCCAATGCGTGTCGGGAGCTCGTGCGTGATCATGCTCATATCCCCAAGCGGGCACTTCAATTCTAGCGGAATATCCACTCTAGGACCACACCTTTTAGTAATCATTTAAATAAAACTGTTTTAACTCTTTGTTCAACTTTGGCAACCCTTGACGACCTCCGTGGCGCGAGTGTTAGGTGTGTACGCCGGGATTCAATGTGTCGCCTACGCAAGAGCTTCCGGGCTCGAATCCCGGTGTAGCAAATATTAGTATGATGAATACGATCATTTGTACCTGAGTCATGGATGTTTATACAATATATATCTATCAGTATAATTGAATTATATCCGTTGCCCTTTTATCCTATAACACACGCCGTAGGCTTCAGAGACACCAAATCCGTCATCGGACAAACTCGGACGATGTCGCTTGCAGTTGTGTTCACACTCATTTTCTTATACGTTTGATTTTGACAGCCGTTGATGCTCGTCCGAAATCATACATTTTGACGTTTGATTCCGCGACAGCATATGCCCATCTTTTAAATTTGACTCGCCATAACTTTTTTCTTCGAATTAAAGCGCGTGAAACGCAGGGGACCTCTGCGTGTGTCATAACTGTAATTAGACATATTATATTTTATAGTATCGCTTACTTTTTTGTAGATATTGATTTTCTCTATTAAATTTAACTTTGCTCTTTTGTCAATGACTTCCGCAGCGTACGCGGTATTAAAAAAAATAGGTTATTTTTTTGGATTTTTTTTCACGCGTTGGGTTAGATAGTCTTTATCGTAGTTTTCATATGGAACCTTAAATATTTTGAAAATACTCTATAGCCTATGCTTATCAGGGATAATGTTGGATTCTAAATGTGAAAGAATTTTTATAATCGGTCTGGTAGTTTTGGAGCCTATTCAATACAAAAAAACATACAGACAGTCAAGTCTTTCCTCTTTGTAATATTAAGATAGGTTTGATTTTTTGTTTCTAGGTCTCAGAGTCGTGCCTCAAGCCACGCGTGGCAGAGCCATAGTGATGGTAGAGGGCCATGCGTTCTCTCTTCACCAAAATTATGGTTTTCGTACTCGATGGCGATGCACGAAGTACTGGAAAGGTTGCAGGGCATCTCTGACCACTGTTGATGACATCATCAGCAAATGCAATCTCTACCATGATCACCAAGGCTACGTGTGATTTGAAGGAATATTCTTGTTTCCATAAAAATGTGAGCGATTTTATAAAATTTATAAGTGGTAGAACCTACAGCGTCTAAGGAGTCTTTGATGTCCACCACACCGACTGACTTTTTTTACGTTCTCGTGCATCATATTGTATTAAGGTCTGGGTCTCTGAGAAGTAATGGTATTGTAATACTGCAATGTATTTATATATATATGCATGTATATGTACTGCTTTTTTTAGGATCAGAGGATTAGACTAATATGTGTAGGTACTTCATTGTAAATTTATTACCTAGTTTAAGTGTCATGATGAAATTTTGTAATAAATAAATAAGGGGTTTGCATAATTTGTGTCTTAATAATTTCTAATATTTTAAAGTGACCGATTACTATAGTTGTTTTTTCTTATAACTTAATATAAACTAATATTTTATGTCAAATATAAGTAAATATAAAATCAATACGCCGAATCTTTTGCGGGTTTGACACTCGCTGATATAGAACTAGGGTTACCAGATCAAGAAGTAAAAATATCTGGATAACATTTTAAAATGTCGGGATTTAGGGATTATCGGTGAGAGAATTATACCTCCACCTCCACGACTCACCTGGATATCTTCCTGCTTCTGGCCTCTTTCAGGCGTGAACACAACCAGCTCCACTGCAGTGTAGTGTCCTTTATATAAGCTGTTCGGTACAAAGCGCAACAGCAGATAGGCCATTGACAATCCAGCCAATGAACATTATAACGGTTTGAGTACCCGCGCGTTAAAATTTTCGTGGTACCACCTACGAATCTGCCATCTCATGACAGGTTGGCAGATCGAACACCAGGTGGCGCCAGTGAGCATATTGCCCATCCGAAACTCATATGCGAACTTTGTTGAAACAAGAAAAAACTCACATAGTTATCATCATAATTCTGGCTACAAGTTTGCAAAAATCATGCGAGTGGGAGTGGGGTTCAAAACTAGGTACTGACGCAGACTTTCTTCATGCAAAGTGGTCGCCTACATCATTGGAGATAACAATAATTTGAAGGTTATAATATCTATAATCATAACTTGTTATCTTGTGAATAATATATACAATTACCAAATATAATGGAGTACATTCCACTCACGCCACGGAGGCCCTCCCTCCGTCCGTCTTAATATATCATAGTTTAATATAATATACCAATAACATTATTTTCATTGTTTTTTAGACTACATGTACATCCCTGCCGGCCACAAGAAGAATTTGATTATGTTCAGAGGATACACATTTTCACATTATGGCAAAAACCTCTGGTACTGTTCCAAAATAAAGCTCGGATGCAAAGCTAAGCTCAAATTAGATGACAAAGAGCGAATAATTTCCGCTCACAACACTCATTGTCACGAACCTCCGGTTTACTGCGTGACTGATTCTGGCGAATATATTTTAGTACGTAAGCGCAATAATTACTGAGCAATTTTGAAAAAAAATAACTTGTATAAAGTATATTTTTCAAAATATACTAATAAATTCTAATCATATCGTATAATTTTACTTAATTCTAATACGTGGGTACTTAATATTTCCTCATCAGAATACATCTGGATAGGTTCGCAGAATGAGCACCGGGTGGCTCTAGTGAGTATATAGCCGTTCCGAAATGCAAATATTGTTAATGTAAGGTAAAACTCATACAGTAATGTGGACAAATCCCACCAACCACCCATGGCCTGGCGAACCTTCTTGGTTATGCAGGCCGAAGCAGCGAGAGATACGCGGGGAATGACCTCCACTGCGCGTACTTTACAGTAATGTGGACAGTCTAATTTTATCACCATCTGTGAGAAAATAAGTCAATGCAACTACGAATATGTAACGAGAACAAAAGAACAATCTGGTTATAGGCCAAAAACACATTTTACTATCATTCTCATTATTCGAGATAGACACTCATTTTCCTTTCAATTGTTACAGGTTTATCCTTCAAGTATATTCAGACGCCGAAACGCAAAAATCCTATACTAATGTTAGGCGAGTACACTTTTACGCAGACCACTTCAGACCAACGTTATTGGAACTGCAGCAAAAAACTATCCACATTTTGTCCAGCGAAGCTCCGTTTTAACAGCGACGGAAAATTGGTTGACTACAAGCTGACCCACAATCATAGTCCTCCTAACTATGTCGTCACCAAAGATGGCAACTATATAAAATTTTAATACAGCGTTTGTTAACAATCCTAACAAGTGCTTTTGTACTCTTATGGTTTCCTGGGGGTCTGAAATAGCGAGGTTGCATGTTTCAATAATTAAGTTCTTAATTTTGTTTATTTTTTCAAATTTTAATATAACAAGCTATTTCATTAAACATCAAATAAAGCTCACCTTTTTGAAATAAAATGTCAAATTTGACAGCTTCGTTTAAGTATGCGTAAAATGAGATTGAACGTACGTACGTAAACTTAGATGAAACGTCATTAGTATAAAATTGGAAAATTCATAAATGAAACATTACCTATTTTAGATATTTCATACAATCTCACCATTTCAGACCCTTTATTTTCATTTTAAGCGAAAGCTTTACGTTTACATTTGCCGTGTAAATAACATATCATAACTAATTTTAAATTACGAAGGAATAAATTGAGGTCCGATTATGATTGTAGTTAATTTTATTTATCAGATTCATTTTAAAGGTGCCATAAATAATAAAAGTTACTGAAAGACTTCGTATATAATTATTTCAATTTATTCAATGTTATTTTCGTTTTTATCTAGTTAGACAGATGGAAAGGGCTCATGCCATACTCTCTTTAAGCTTTGTGGCAATGTCTTGGAGGTTGGTCGTTAGGTTCCCTGAAATATGTTTGAGCGAAGTGATGACTGAATAGCCATCACATACAACATATGAACGTATGTTATGCTAGTGAACTACAGCTGCCAGTGGAGACAAGTCTGCTCGGCTACCACAATTAATACTTTGAAATTTTATAAGCCAAGTAGAAGTAAAATTACTTTAGATTCTCATCTATAGATACCATGAGAAACAGTATTCTTATTTTGACATTTGTTGACTCTGTTACGACCAAGCATTTCGTAAGTGACTGTTTCTTTATTTTGTTAAGTAGTATCTTTTACCAGTTCTTCTCGACAACTACAAGAAATCTTGAAGTTATGTTAGGAAAATACGGACATTCCAAATCAGTTGTTTTATATTAGCGGTTTGAACAAAATTATTTAATTCTTTTTTCATAACTTAAAAACCAACCTTATGAATTTGTTTCAGATTTAACCTACGAGTATATTGTGTTGCCGTCACGCAAAAGGCCATTGCTAATGTTGCAGAAGTACACTTTTACGCAGACCACTTGCGATAAACGTTATTGGAACTGCAGAAAGAAATCGTCTACCAAATGTGAAGCGAAGCTCCGTTTTAACTACGACGGGAAGTTGGTGCATTACCAACTGGTTCATAATCATCTTCCTCCCACGCCCAACTTCTCTGTCACCTAGGAAGGCAAATTTGTGAAATTTTAGTTCCACGTCAGTGAAAATCCGAAGCAAGTACGTTTGTTATCTACATCTTTAATGTAGAGAGAGAATGAGATAGATGAAGAGAAAGAATGTAGTAAACGGTGTGAATAGAATTTGCAGCAAAAGCTCGCTTTATATAATGTGATCCTGGTTCCAACGCAAATGTGTAGGGAGAATCTAGCCAAAGCTGTAAAATTTAATGAAAGTAAAATAAATACAGTCAATGACTGAACATAAGCCCATGTTCAGATGGCAACATTTTGACGCGCGCGTTAACGCGCGTCAGCGAGCGTTGACGCGGCGCTCAGAGTCTCCATAGACGCAGGCGATCACGCGTTGACGCGCGCTTTGTCTGGTATGTAACGTCAGTTGACTGTTCAGTTGGGCGCGCGCTTCCATCGCGATCGCATTTTTTTTTGTGATTGTTCGTATTCAGTTCAAAATGCAAAATGCGTTCATATTCTTAGCTCTATCGAAACAGACTGACGAGCGCTCGTAACGCGCGTTAGCGCTTCTCATTTGAACTCTGTATAAATTTGTTAGCGCGTTTAACTGCGTTAACGCACGTTACATGCGAACAACGCCTAATATTCTTAGTATGGCTCATCTCACACTAGCGCAGAGTCGAAACGACGGAGACGCGACGCGTCATGGTTTCCCGTGTTTTGCCTGTAGCAAATTCATCTCTATTTTTCCACTATTAAAGTTATTCCTTCATATGCGACGCGCGTTGATGCTTGGATAAGGTCGAAGAGTTCTGTGCGTCGCCAAGCGGCCGTCGCGCGAAGTGGCGCGTCTGACGCCGACCTTACCAGACGTAGCAGTGCCGTCGTCGCAGTTAAAAAACAGGACGCAACGCAACGGTTCGACTCTGCGCCAGAGTGACATGAGCCTATTTGTTGAATGACGATCGCAGGCTGCGTTCGTAATGTGGAATTCGTAGGAAAGATAATCGGTACAGTGTCATTCCTAATATATACAAAAGCATTCATCGTTTGGTTCTTATGTTCTTAAATTAAAATGAATCCCATATTTCCGTTACTTACGCCATGACTTAAGAACGACAACGACGAACAATTTTACAAGTTTTCTTTAATTCAAACTTACAACTCTACCCGTTGGGTCATGCTGCTGTCAGGTTTTTAAGTATTTTTTTTTGTATTTGATCCAATATGACAACATCTGTTATACTATTATCTATATATATAAAACTCAAAGGTTAAAATATATAAAACGCACAGCCCAAACCGCTGGACGGATCGGGCTGAAATTTGGCATGCAGGTAGATGTTATGACGTAGGCATCCGCTAAGAAAGGATTTTGATCAATCTACCCCCAAGGGGATAAAATAGGAAATGAAAGTTTGTATGAAACTTTGTCAAATTTAAACTGATCGGGCTGAGACTTTGCATGCAGGTATAAGAAGAATCATAGATGAATGTCATTGTGTATAATACAAGCCTGTGAACAAAAACTGTAGTCTACAACACTTCATGTCTACACCGAAGCGAAGCGAGGGCGGGCCGCTAGTATAGTATATGGCTGAAATGAAATAATGACGAAAAAGCTTTACCCGTACTACGGTAATGAAAGATGTGCGTAACCGTAGTCTTGTGGTCTGAGCTGATTACTTATTGTTCCTTAATCGATTTATATCCATTGTGTGAATTAGTTACTGTACAAATAACTTGTAAATTGTTTTCAGATTTATCCTATAAGTTTATTGAGTTATCAAGACGCAAAAAGCCGTTGATAATGATGGGGAAGTACACTTTCGCGCAGACCAATACTGATCAACGTTATTGGAACTGCAGCAAGAAATTCTCCAATCAATGTCCAGCAAAGCTCCGTTTTAACTGCGACGGCAAATTGGTTCACTACGAGCTGATCCATAACCATAGTCCTCCGAACTATATTGTCACCAAGGATGGCAAATACTTCAAGATTTAGTTTCCACATCAGCGAAACTCCTATCAATAATTGTATTGGAAATTCAGGAACTCTTGATTAGAATTAGTTAAAGGTTTATTTTTGAAAATTTCACGATCATTTAAAATGTGTTTAACGTTACAAATAATTAATGACTAAATAACAACATTCTGTATTAGGGAAAAAGTTTCTTCGCATTTATATGTAAATTCAAAACATTTTTTTAGTTTATTTACATTTAACTACAGTATGTATATCTCTTTGCCATCTTGAAGGTAACGTCATGATCCCATTGCTATAGAAATTTTCGGGCTACTGATCAAAAAACCACGACAAGTGGTTTTGACAGTCCTCTCATGATACTAGTAACCTGACATTGCCGAAAGAATTCTGAAGAGACCGAAACAGGTGGAAATATGAAGGTGCAAGGTCAGGACTATACGGTGGATGGATTAAAATCTCCCAGTCTCTTATTTTTTACTAAGTGGCGAAATATGTTTGAGGTCTAGCGTTATCATGATGAAAATCCACACCCTTTCTGTTCATTAATTCCGGTAGTTTTCCCTCTACATCTTACTTTAATCTCATAAGTTACACTCGTCATTAGCTCATTACACGTTTCATTAGATTTCTTTTAGTGAATATGTCGAGCTTATTTATGTACCTAGCTTTATTCAAATGCGCCAAAACTGTTTTGTGGTAAAATCCCAGTTCTACAGCTACGTCGTAACTACTGATATGCCGATATCGCTCCACTTTTGGCCGATGTCGTGACCAGAACAACGTGCATCTTTCGTGAAAACGCTTAAACCTAATTTTTGTTACTCTCACAAATACTAGTACTAGGTCCATAAACATCACAATTTTTTTCGCGGCTTGCGTTGCACTTTTACCTTTTTTGTAGTAAAATTATAAAATGTATCTCTAATTTCTTCGTGAGATTCATTCATCTTGTACAGTAAGATACACAAATGAACATCACACATTTTTCTAATTTGAATTTGGAATTATCTTCTTTGAAATTTAAACTTTTTATTGATACCAAAACCAGACCGATACAAAAAGTATAACCAAAGAGATTTTATTACAGGTTCATACATACTATAACGCGATCAGACTTTTTCCCCAACCTATTATTTTATAGTCATTGCATATCCCCTCGTGTGTGTGTGTGTAAGCACAAGTGGCTGATTTCTGCCACGAGTTCAGAAAATAAATTACATATTTCAATTTTTCATATTTTTTTAATTTACATATATAATATATAGATAAGTTTGTAGAGAAACTATTCAAGATTGCTTTTATTCATAAAAGAAGCCTGGGTATACAGTAGAGCTCGAATAATAAGAGGAAAATTGGTGAAAAACAAAGAAAATGGCTACATAGCTGAAGGGATATTTATGATGGTTGATAGATAACGCGGTAGGTTTAAGAAGTGTATACATCACCGTCAAAGGTAACGATAACCTATGTGTGACCGATGTCCTTCTCTGTGGTCCACTTTATTTCCATAGCAAATGTTATTTCAACAATTCAAGCGTGAAATTAAAACAGGCAGAAAGACAGAGTACGGATAGAAAGCAATGCTAATCTAAATGATAATTTATAGTACCTAACCAATCATTTTAGACAAAAAAGTTATGCGAAGTAAGACAACTGTGAAATTTGGTAACTGCGAATCTAACTTCAAATGTAATTGTTTCAGATTTATCCTTCAGATATATTCAATCAGTGAAACACAAAAAGCCATTGATAATGTTGCGGAGTTATACTTTCGCGCAGACCACTTGCGACCAACGTTACTGGAACTGCAGCAAAAAATTCTCCAACAAATGTCCTGCGAAGCTCCGCTTCAACTACTACGGAAAGTTGGTTCACTGTGAGCTGAATCACAACCACAGTCCACCAAACTACATTGTTACCAAGGAAGGCAATTATGTCAAAATTTAATTCTGCATCGAGAAACATCCTAGCAAGTTAAACAAAGAGTTGTTTTGTTTTCCTGTGCGAAGAAATAACTATTTGTGAGAATAGACTAGCTGATTAGCCACATAATATAATATTATTATATTAAAGTATTTTAGATTTAGCAAGTTTGATGAAATAATATGTAGATAGCTTAATATTCTGTGATTTACTATATTTTACTATTTATGCTTCTATGTCCTAGAGTTATATATTCATAGAAAATTTTACTGGAATGAAATCAACTCCAAATCATCCTATCTGGTACCTTAGACTAGTTATTATTATTCTAGTAGATGTTTCTATTGGAGTCTTAATTTTAATGTGCTTGTTTGTGTATCCTAAAATGAAACTAAAAGTACTTAAATTTTAAATGTATAGACGTTAGTACCTACCTTATTGGTAGTACCTATTAAAACGTTTGACTTGATCGCTAATGAAATATACATGAAAAATGTTGTTTTATTTTTATTGAATCGATTAGGGTACGGAAGTTTTACCTCTACTTTTTGTTATAATTATTTACAGATAATTTTAATTATGATCTCTAATATGAAATAGATATTTTAATTATGTAGATTATAATAACAATTCTGACTGAGAAACTGTACGAGAATATGCTTGCCTTTATGGAGGTTGGTTATTAAAACCGGTTGTAAAACAGGTTGTGGTTGCATCTCGGTTAAAATAGCTTTATTTTTTCAATTTCAGAAGTGACATACGCGAAACAAACATCACGTGGCGGCCCTTATTTATACGTAGATGGGTACAAGTTTATTCGACATCGCAGCAGCAAATATAGTACACGGTGGAGATGCGGCGCTCACAATCGCTACAGGTGCCGAGCAGTTGTTTTCACGGTGTCAGATGTTATAGTAAAACAGTTTACAAATCATACCCATCCTGTCCCCGATAATTTGTGAGACATCTTATCTTTAAGACATTTTTGTACCAGGCCTTGTGGTCCTGTTTTCTTTGCCTACCTCACTAAGGCCCATAATATAGAAAGATTCTCAGTGATTGATCTAGTCTTGAGCGTAGTTAGAAAGGGATGTCGCTATATATAGCCCATAGCGATATCTAACTGAACTCAAGTAAATATTAACACTTAGTTGTCATTCTGTAATACGGGCCTAAGACTCTGTATGCTCAGGGTTAGGGATTATGTCTTACTTTCACGTTTCATTAAATAACAGCACTTTATTCTGTAGACGAGAAGGATCATTCTGGAAATAAAATACCAAATCGACAGTTTCAATTTTATGCTGGCATTTTAAATGGCGTTCGTATTTGCTTTTTGTAAATTTGTCTGCAGTTTCTCCTTTTCATTACTCCTTTGTGCTTTGATGTTGTCGTTTTGGTTACCCGACACCGTATTCCAGTGTAAATATTACTTCGGGTGCACAAATTCGAGTAATGTCTTTCATGCATCAAATGTAATTGAGCCATAAAATTGTAAGAAGGAGCCTGATAAATATCAAATTTATGCTCAGCATAATAAATTTTTATATGTGTGATTTGTGCATTAGACTAAACTTCCTGAAAAAAAGCAGTTTTTTGTGAGTCAAAAGCTATTAACGTCCTTTATGTCTCTAATTGTTGTACGAACCTAGCATAATGTTATCACAATGATATTAATATGAACATGTTTTGTAAAATGTACTAAAATCTATAATATATGTATGATGAACTTCGTCGTCTCGTTGCAAATACCTGAAGTTAAACTTTAACCGTAGTTTTACGAGGTGTTCATCGTGGGGGAATTTTTTAACATTCCTGGTGAATATTAAATAAATCCCGAGGATGCGCATCAAAGTACAAATGATTTTAAGGGTACTACAAACCTAAATCCTAATCCTAAAATCTTTTATTACTTATTTTAAAGATTTCCGTGCAAAGTTACGATATATAACTTGTATGATGGCACCATGGTTTTACGAGTATAAGAAATGTAGGTGAATGTTTATTGGTTCTTTTGGTTATTCATATAATTGGGTGTTTGTTTTTATTTCAGGTACAGAATTGGCAGATTAATGTGGAGGTGGGTGAATATATAACTCGTCATTTTTATAATTAGGGTTCCTTACTCGAAAGGTCTTAACGGAGGCTTCATTTTTATACGAGACAAAGTCAAAGTAAGAATTCATTAGAAACCATTTTTGTTGCTAAAGAGACCATTTGCTTTACTGAAGAATAAGCTTCTTGGTTTTACTGAAGAATTCAAGTGTCAAGTAAGGGCTTGGTAAATTAGCAAGAAGTGATTACTTTGTCTATAAATATTGAGTCAATAGTTGATATTGTGATATAAAATTGGTGTAATTTAGTTTTACCATCTACGCAACTAAAGTATAAGTAGAGTTTTTAAAATATGCGCTTTCCCGGTCAAGTGGACCGAGAACTTTATTATAGTATTGACTACCGCACAGAAGCTTATCAAGAAAGCTGATTCGATATATTTCGTGCCATATACTCTAAGAAACATTAGACGCGTCACACCCACATTCTAATGTAATAAAAAATGAGACTATGGCTGCATGGCTTTCCCTTTGCCTTCCCTGGTAGGGAAAAATAGAACTAAAAAATGTCAACTATTGAGCTGCGTTCCAAACGTACGCTCTGAGGTGAGCATAGGCCCACCACATAAATCCATAAGAAACCCACTAGAACGAAAGTGACGACGATGTTATTCCTTATTTTTGTTTTTATTTTGTATGTGAACTTCAAGTTTTTGTCTAAAACCTAACCTAAAAGCATGTGGTTCTCGGGCCCACCAATTTTGGTCAAACATCATCTTCTTCTTCTTGCAACGCGATTCCGCAACTCGACGTCCTTAAGGCACCTATTTTGCATGAGGAGGGTGTGCTACTAATCACTCTAGCCAGCCCAACTCCGTGAGGAACGCTCCCAGGGCCTTTACATTGGTGATTGATTCTTGGAGGTTTCACGGTGAACCGAGTTATTTCGCCCGATATTTGACCACTCCGTTGCATTCTAGCAGAACGTGAGTAGTTGTTTCTTCTGCCTCCATGCATCCTCTGCATAGGGCAGCCCCCTATGCAGAGGATGATCCAAGACACCGACGTTAAAACTCGCGTGACTTGATTCAATCTAGTGAAATATAATTTGTTGTAAAACATATCTTAAGGAAAAGTAAACTTTCAAAGGGATGGTGTCTTTCACATATAAGTAGAATTATTAACATGTGATTTCTATTTAATCACTTTCAAACACAAAACTGATATTTTTTTTGTTAAAATTCAATCGTCGGACTTGTTTGACAAAACAATCGACTCGCCAGTACAAATTTCAGATCTGTCAATAAAATTAAGCGCTGTAATTTTTTATGTGTGAATGTTTTTAGTATGTTGGACTGCATTAGCCCCCCCCCCCTTCCCGCAGTAAAAAGCGGCTCAATGATTTCAGTAGTATTATGACATTATGGCTACTCCCCTCCCAGCCGCGTCGGCTGTGTAGCTCTATGCCTACAGACGTCGTGAGACGTGTTGTCGGCTCGTGGTGATCCATCTGCTGATGCATCTGTCAACTTGTTGTGGAGACTTTAGGCTCCGCCAATCCCAGCCGCTTTTGGTCACGTGACAATAGATAAAAAACTATTAAAAATTACTGATTTGTTACCCCCGGAGCGTAGGTTTGGAACGTGACCTCTGTCTAAATGACAGCAAAAGTTTTTTTGGCGGGTTTCATCGAGTGTGGTTGACGTCTTATTTTAATTATTCTTAAATTCGTTCATAGTGGATATTGTGAAATAAAATTGGTGTGATTTTGTGTTACAACTGTCTGCGTAACTGAAGAATTAGTAGAATCGTCAAAATATACGCTATTCCGGTCAAGTGGACGTGAGAATTTTATTGTAGTATTGACTACCTCACAGAAGCTTATCGAAAAAGCCAGCTCGATACATTTCGTGCCAAACACTTCAAAAAACATTAGAATGCGTCACACCGACATTCTAATGTAAAAAGAAAAACAGAATAATTTAACTTAAGACTAGGCTGTATGGGCATTGTTCTCCTTGCCTTCCGTGAAAAGGGAGAACTTAACCAAAAAAAACATTACAACAAACTTCAAAACTGACTGCAACTTGTAGCTGTCGTCGTTGCCGCGTTCGCGCGTATTTGTTCAGTTATTTGTTTAGAACTGTCTATTTGGATTTCTTCAGTTTTTATGCGTTTATATAGTAAAAGAAAACAGCAGATAGAACAGTAGGAGAAATCAATCTAGGCACCAGGAA